GTGCTGGAAAGCCTAAACCCTAAACCCTAAACCCTAAACCCTAAACCCTAAACCCTAAACCCTAAACCCTAAACCCTAAACCCTAAACCCTAAACCCTAAACCCTAAACCCTAAACCCTAAACCCTAAACCCTAAACCCTAAACCCTAAACCCTAAACCCTAAACCCTAAACCCTAAACCCTAAACCCTAAACCCTAAACCCTAAACCCTAAACCCTAAACCCTAAACCCTAAACCCTAAACCCTAAACCCTAAACCCTAAACCCTAAACCCTAAAACCCTAAACCCTAAACCCTAAACCCTAAACCCTAAACCCTAAACCCTAAACCCTAAACCCTAAACCCTAAACCCTAAACCCTAAACCCTAAACCCTAAACCCTAAACCCTAAACCCTAAACCCTAAACCCTAAACCCTAAACCCTAAACCCTAAACCCTAAACCCTAAACCCTAAACCCTAAACCCTAAACCCTAAACCCTAAACCCTAAACCCTAAACCCTAAACCCTAAACCCTAAACCCTAAACCCTAAACCCTAAACCCTAAACCCCTAACCCTAAACCCTAAACCCTAAACCCTAAACCCTAAACCCTAAACCCTAAACCCTAAACCCTAAACCCTAAACCCCTAAACCCTAAACCCTAAACCCTAAACCCTAAACCCTAAACCCTAAACCCTAAACCCTAAACCCTAAACCCTAAACCCTAAACCCTAAACCCCTAAACCCTAAACCCTAAACCCTAAACCCTAAACCCTAAACCCTAAACCCTAAAAACCCTAAACCCTAAACCCTCAACCCTAAACCCTTAACCCTAAACCTTAAATCCTCATCCCTAAACCGAAACCCTAAACTCTGAACCTAATCACTAAACCCTAAACCCTTGGCCAGTGATAGACATGTATGGGTGCAATCAGTTCCTGATGTTGGAATTCTAGGTGAGGGGATGTATGAGAGGGAGGAGCCATGATTGGACGGAGGGCCCATTTGCCCACCCGGTCGAGAAAGCTAGGCGTTGCAATCCCCGACGGTACGACTACTAAGAGACAACGTGTACGGACTTTCGAAAAAATGAGCTCTTAGAGAGGCGATGCGTGTGAATTTGGGTGCATTTAAGTATTTGAGTATTGGTTGCATTTGGCTTGGTACTTGGAAGTAGCCGTGCAAGGATGGGCAGAATTACCATCGTTGAGTGTGGTTTTTGGTGCATATGTCGGAGCAGCTGCGGTGGATGCCTGCGGCCGCACAAGAAGCGATGACAAGAAATCGGAGCACAGGACGTCACGAAGGGTTGCCACGAGCTGGTGCACCGGGAGCTACGATCGGGCGTCGAGGTACGAGGACTTGTCTCACGACGGACCATCAGGACGTGATGGTCTGAGCAAATCGTTGGAGCACTCGAGCTCGATCCATTGGAGTGCAGGGTATGCAACATTGAAGAATTCATTGCCTAGGTCGATGTTGGTCAGGCTTGCACAGTACCCCCTACCGCTGAGCCCTCTGTTGTCGGGGTCGGTTGAGAAATGGGCATGATTGCGGGGTGATTAACGAGCGTGTCGATGTCTTATTTTGCAGAATTGATAATGTGACTACAAGTGATGCTGCATTAAGCGTCGTAGTCTCGAAGGCTCCACTCACGGATGCATTGAGGGTAGGCACCAACGTCGCCTGCGGGAGTCTTGCAGAAGTCAAAGATGGAGCTGATATTGACTCCGTCAACGATGATCCTGATGGAAGGAGAGTCGGTGGTGCAGCAGGTGGAGAGCGGGCAAAGACATAGGGGCGAGCAGCCTGAAGGACTCTCTAGACCTAGACCAGGTGAACCACCTATCTATGGGGGATTGCTTTGAGTAAGCAGAGTTTTGTATGCATTTAGACTCCATATACAGTTCTCTCATGAGAAAAAATATGCAAGTCAAAACTCTAATCAGGGTCTGAAGACCCTAATTAGGGTTTTCAAACCCTAAATTATAGAAAACGAAACACACTTTTTTGAAAAACAAAATCGTTTATAGAGGTCTTTGGATGATTTTAAACCTTCGCAAAATTTTACAACAGAAAAAGTTGTTACATATTGAGAGATATTGAGGATGAAAAACCTCTACGACACCCATGTAACCCTAAACCCTAAACCCACCCATGTAACCCTAAACCCTAAACCCCTAAACCCTAAACCCGTAACCCTAAATCCTAAACCCCAAGTTAAAGTAGCGAAATCTTCTAAATTATAAACTTGTATTGAAAAAGAATTATACCATTGAAATCCTAGACACCATAAATGGAGAATAGATCAAGTCAAAATCCAAAAATAATGATGCCCGAAAATCGAGGACACTCTTGTAATCCAAAACCCTAAACCCTATTGCAACTAAAAACAAATTAGATTTAATTTATCACAAGGATACATATTCCAAGGATAGATTTGCAATTATCACAAAAATAAAGTAATTTGCTATTATCAAGAATACAAAAATATTCTTGATATTTCAACATATTTCAAGAATGTATGATATTTTTCCTATTTCAAAATACCATTGTTTTAATATTCTTGTCTATTGTTTCAATATTGTAGATTGGATGGTCTAGGTATTTTACAAAGGGGATGTGTATTAACATAGCATTTACAAGCCAATAATATGCTATGGTCATTCAGATGTGTCACAGTCAGAAGAATCTTACTGAAAGCTAGTGCCACTGCATTTATGTGACTTACGTCTGCATTAACCGGGAGATCAGTAATATAAAGGTTAATTCGTCTAGCATCTGAACATGACAAACACAGGTCTTTTAGGGCATGTTGCAACTTCGAAGTATGTGTCCATCTGGTAACTGGTCTTTCAACATCAGCAGAGGCCACAACACGGCATTGAATTTATACCACTCACTCTCAAGGTAAAAACAGTAAGAAAATCGTAAACTGAGAGCACAAGTTAAATTCTGCTACTACAATGTATGCTCGTATCCAGATCAGCTGTCGGGCATTGCTATGCATGTTCATTGACCAATATTTTAGTGCCTAATAAATTACTGGAACTAAGGTTCCGACCTTGAAAACATTCAAATGAGGGAGTCGGTGGAAGGGGGGCCAGGTTAGCATGCAGCGACACTGACGTGGCTTCAAGTGGAGGTGGAGAATCGAGCACAAAATCTGGTAACACACATAGTGTTTCTTTCAAAAGGGCACCCACAGTCTGCAAAAAAAATGTACATGCATATGTCAACCTGTAACTGGTCTGCAAAAGTGACAATTCAGAAAACTATGACCAAGAACATTGCTTCGGCAGTATCAAGTTCAATTCTTAATGTAAATTGCTAACATGCGAATGACGCCATGAATGTGAAAAGACACCTCAATAAACTTTTATCATCAGGTAAACGAATATCAGCATAAGAACACTTCAACATCAGAAAATTGAATTGCACAGGATGCTTACGACCAGGTGAAGCGACTATATTATCTGCAACCTAAGAGAGTTAGATTCACGGTCTACGAGCTTTACGTTTCAATATTCCTCAAACAGAATGTGAACTAAAATAGTTAATTACAGAATTTCAAGTTTAAAGAAGCGACTGTCATTTCCTTACATCTAACCAATTCTATCCTGAAGATATTTCTTTTAGAACTTTCTATTGCCGATTCATCATATGAGCCAAAAAACACGCAAGGTGACCCCTGCTTACCTCAGCGTTACGTAGGGAATTATCAACAGCCCGTCTCCATACACCCGCGCCTGACTCCGCGTGGAATATCCCTAATAAGGGCTGATTCCAACAAAAGATGTAGAATTTGAATCAGTCGCCACGACACATGAATGTTTACATATAATCAAAAATTTGATTTTCGAGTGCGTATCTGCTAGTTTGAAGGCAACAAATTACCTTAACAAGATGCCTAACACTTGGCTTCTTCGGACCATACTTATGAAGCTCAGCATCAGCATATTCCACGTACTTCTCCAAAATCTACAACGTCGAAAAACCACCAGTCCCTTCAAGATTTAATCCGAGGACGTCTTTTAAGCTTTCTTTCATAAAGCCGTTAGTGATAATTTGGATTTTGAGCAAAATTCAGCAAAACCTCAATAAGCACGGGAACACAGGTTTTTCCTATGTTTAGTTCAGATGTAAGCTTCACAGTGCTCACGTCTTACAATGACCGCATGACAAGACAATATGTAATCTGTTGTTTCTTAAAAATGACTAAAATCATTCAAAGAAAGTGAAATATAAAAAGCAAATTTGAGTGTAGTAATTTGAATTCAGTAAATCTGCTTGAAAAGACTAGTGAGATCTAAGTTCCTGCTCTTAGCTTAACATGGTTGAAGACTTCTATTCACTAAATTCAAGACTATTACCTTCTATACCTACAATAACGTACCTGCCGTCGAGTCAACCGAGGTGTTGAATCCCCATACACACTATTGTCAACGTTGCCAAGAGTTGCCCATGGACTGCAACGCAAAATTAACATATTTCTCGGTGCACACAATCCACATACCTAATAAACTATTCTCAAAGAATAAACTCATGAAAGGAGAAGAGCTCCTTCAGCAGAATGCTACAGTAAAACTTGTGTATACACATGATATGAGGGAGAATCAAAAACATACTAGTTATAAGCGGCACGCCCCAGCATAACTCCAAAAACTCCCTCCTGCAAGGCTTCGTTCACCTGCAACATACCTGACAAGATCATTTACCTTACGACTTGTTTACACACAAAATCCCCATTCATTGCGAACCAGATCATGCATGATATATTTATATACAGCTTTGTATAACATACAAAAATCATTAAATTCACGGTAATGTGCACGTATAACAATTCAATTCACCATTACAATACAATATAAGCTGCCTTTAACAGAAGCTAAAATAGCTGACCTGGTGGGTGTTGACTACCCCGCCATTTAATGTGAACTTAAGATTTGGAAAGTCTCGAATCAAGGCATAGACGTATTCATATCTGGTTCATGATAAAAATAAAAGTAAACATTAAAATTAGCACACGAAACCAAATGATGGAGTTCCAGTTTGAAGCCACAAGACACTGGAAACTATATAACAAAATAAAACTAACTTTAGAGGAGGTATAGTTCGATTTGCAGCAGGACTCAGTCCCTTGAGTATCGCTTTTCGTGCGTGTACAACGAAGTGCTGTGTTGGTGACGAAGATGATACGGTCGTGACAAACTTATCTGAACACGAATCCACCACATACTAGCACCAGTCAGCAGTCAATTTAATCCTGAATTGCATCTGTCCCCAAAGAAATAACTCGAGCAACGTAAAATAGTGGTAAACTTCTCGCTTCCCACTTCTAATTCTGTTGCACAAATCAGTCAAACATGTCGATAAAAATTTCCAACTTCTTGTACAGGATGCGCCAAATACTTACGAAGTAAATCGTAAGAGTCGAAGTCATCAACTCCTATTCGACACTTGACAGTAACAGGAGTTCCTGGACTACCTTCTGCAATAGCAGCCATGCATTCAGCAACAAGCTGTAGAAACAACAAACCATCTGCAGAATCAGAAATAAATCCCCAACATAGTATCTTTTGACATCCTTATTGCATGAATATTACAAGTTTCTTGTGCATTTCCAAATTCAGCTCGATTAAAAAAAATCAAAAATCTAGAAACAAATGAACATTTCGAAGTAGAAATGCCCTCACAAATTTCGGGTAGCACAAACCGAATGAAGATTTCTCAAAATGAGATGAAATACATTAAGTCATCTGATCTATAACCATAAATCCTACAATGACTTCAGAAATTAGCTGTGAATAGTGACTACAATGTGATAGTTCATTTAATTAGTTCTAGAAAATGTCTTCAATCAAATTCCAAGTTGTCAACATCGTACCCCAGACTCAAGCATAAGCGACGCACCAAAACAACCATGGCCAGCGACTTTTTCACTGGGGCAACCACAACTGCAAAGCCAAAAACGAGTGAAACTTGACATCAGAAACAATGCGGAGATACACTGATCCCAATCCTCAAACGCTAACTTCACTGAAATACACCTCTAGAAACCGCAGAATAAGAGTAGGTAGACCAATTTGGGCAATCCCCCCCCCCCCCTCAAAAGATAGTGTCTAGAAAGTGTCATTTATAATGTGAAATGCTTACTTCAAATTTATTTCATCATACTCATATACACTAGCAAGCAGAGATGCTTTTAAGAGCTTCTCTGGATCGCTACCACCCAGCTGAAGCACTATAGGATGCTGAACTTCATTGAACTTGAGAAATTTGTCCTGACATACCCACAGACAAACAATGAAATGTAAATAGTAGACCTCATAAGGAATAAAATAGTGAAGGGGTTTCAACTCATGCGTGCTCCTCGTCCAAGAAGTTAAAAAACCATGTAGCGCAAATGACGAACTGGACAAGGCAAAACTTACAAGGTTATCTTGCTGGTGTATGATAGTGTCAGCAACTACCATCTCAGTGTACAACCATGCATGTTTAGACATAAGGCGAGCGAGAGTCCGATAATGGTTGTCCGTCCAATCCATCATTGGAGCCACACTGCTCTGCACACCAAGTTCATGATTGTGAAGAGATAATTCGCATTGGTTCTTCAACGTCCGTTTCCGTCATCTCTAGTTCACAAAACCCTAAACTTTACCCGTATTCTACCATACATCCACTCAGGTCCCAGAAGAACATGTAGAACCTAGCAAGAACTGAAGTGAATACGATGTGTAATTAGATAATTTTCGAACAAGCATCAAGATTCGCCTCACACTTAGCCCAATCATGCCACCTTGCACACCCCATGGAACAACCTCTGAGACTCCTAGCTGATACCAGCTTGAGCCTTCACCTTAAATTGTGATTGAATTCACTCCCCACAAAAAAATAAACGAAAAAGAAAAAAGAAAAAAGAGTAAAAAGATCTGTCGAGCTTTTTGAAAAAAAAATTCACTACAACCGCATCAATTTTTCAAAAAACAAACCACCTCGTGATTACCTGAATCGTGGCGGTAAGTATTCTCTCCCATACCCACTAGAAACAACCGCAACACCTTCGTTCACCTCTAATTCCCTATTGAAGCTCAGATGTATGCCGCGCGTTCCTCGAACGAACCTCGGCCGACGCCAGGATACAAGGCCAATCCTTCCAACGGCTTCTGCAATCCGCGCAGAATCGGAACTCCAGACTAGGGAACAGCCAGATGGAACAGCCATTGCGAATGGCAGCCGCCTCAGCAGAACTCCTTGCGAATTCATGTTGGAATATTAGACTCATGCGCTTTGTCGTGCACAGTTACGAATTATCAGAGGGGCCACGGCGACAACTACCGTCAAGTTGCAACGCTACTGTGGCAGAGAACCACACACAGCAATCCACACTCACCCCCATGTTCTCAAGTCTCCGAACCAACGTCCTGCCCTCTCGGACAGCAGGGGCCTCAGGATGGACGGAGGCTGTTGAATCTACGGTGACAGTGTGCCCCTTCTGCAAATAGCCTTATTTGGGGCTCTCTGAACTCACATTGTCACGACCAGCTGACGCATTAAATCTCTTCAATAAATAAATAAAACTAATTGACAGTAACCTCAAATAGCGTTGCATTTTGAAAGTAAGTTAAAATTTCTAAATATGTTATAGAATGGTTCTAAAAGTGTATAAATTTGTAAATACTGGGTGTTTGACCATTTTGGTTTTTGGATTAACTTTGCATCTGGATAGGAATTTTTTAAGTTTTGATTTGACTTGTCTTCTATTGTGAGGATCTAAAGATCTAGTCGTGTACTAAGAACTCAATATAAGTTTTTCAATTTTTAGATATGATGTCTTTGACTTGATATGATTTTTTGTTGATTTTTTTTGTATTTCAAAAAAAAAAAAAAAAAAAAAAAATGAACTGACCTACTACATTTATTTGTTATGTTTCTAATTCTAATGGTACATTTAAAATCTTTAGCATGATATGAGATTTTCAAAATTACAAAATTATTTTTTAATCAATATATAAAAAATAAATTAAAATAAATATATAAAAACTTGTTGACACTATAATTATAAAATAGATAGTTTATATAAGTATATATGATTTTTATGGTTGAAAAATATTATATTTATATTACTTTTTGAATATACTATATACACATATGAGTTAAAATCATGTAATCAATATTCTAAGCTTATGCAATGGATTGTACATAGTCATGCCAACTTACACCATATTATTAAATAAAGGAGCAAATTCCTCGAATATAATCTTCATATAGTCCTTCTTTCTAATATGCACCACTTTGGTCTTCTTTAACATTGTTCCATCTATACGTTTATCTATGACCTTACTATAAAGAAACCAATGCATATTGTGAAAAAATTTGAAGATAAGATAACAAATACTTAAATTATCTAACTTCTAACTATCACAATAAAATTGGCATTCTTATATCAATGATTGTTGATGTCCTTGCACACTTCTTTACTTCTTTATATATTAAAGTTGATCAAATTTAGAATTTAGGATTTGGAGTTTTTAAAAGTGTGTTTGGCTTTTTAATCTCTTCATTTTTGGATTTTGACATAATCTACCTTTTTATTTATGATGTCTGAAATTTCAATGGTATTAATAAATTCTTATACAAGTTCTTAGGTTGCAAGATATAACTACTTTAATTTGATCTTCAGGATTTTGATTTATATTATATAATAATTTTTAAAAATTTTAAAAAGACCTTTTGATATATTTAAAAGTTACCTATTTTAAATATGTTATTGGATTTTTCTATATATATATATATATATATATATATATATAAGGTTTCTATTGCTATTTTTTGTTCTTCTCCACAAACAAATCTCTTACCCTTCCTTAATAACTTATATAGAAGCTCTGAAATATGGGCAAAGTGAGGCACCTAAATGTGATAGAATACACATGCTCCTAAAAACCTTCTAGCTTTTATAATATTTTTACAAGCCTTCATTCTAGATATAGCATCAATTTTATCAAGGTTTGGTTTCCTACCATACCTGCCACTCATGTGTCCCACTGTCAAGGACAAAGACTTGATGAGGGAAAATATACACAAAAAGGCTATCTCGATATAATAAGTCAAAATATAAACAAGTAGGTATATTAAAAGGAAACTGGAATGGCTATTGCCACAAGACAAGAAACTAAAGACTCTTGAACCTGGACTAGAAGCAAGAAAGGAGTTGACAAGAGTGAAGAAGCCTTCACTCTTGTCTCTATATATACTATCTAACTAGGGGCTACGTGGCGACATTCTATAGGACCTCCAATATGTGTTGACTTTGTAGAACACATGCCTTGACTTACAAGGCAAGTTTTTCTACATGTGGGCCACATAGTTAGTTTGATCTTCAAGCTAATAACATGTGTGGCACATGGCCAACTTGTTGACCACGTTTCTAATCCAAAAAGTCAATTAAAGACACCTATGAAGTCAAAGCAGCGTCTAGGAAGTTTCTAGGAAGCTTCTATATTAAATATTATAGAATTAACTTACTTTTATCTACTTTTACTTACTTCTACCTATTTCTATATGTAATTATTAGCTTAAATGATTATGGCCGTGACATTACCCCCCCTTCTAGAGACGAGTTCCACGAGGAGCGGTCATCATATGTTGAGAAAATCTATGAAGCGACGAATTGTATTCGCCACATACTCTGATCTCTGTTCTCTTCGAAGATGATTGATAGGGCCTCTCAACCATCGGTAGTGTCCTATACCAGGGCAGGAAGACCACCCAGTTATTTGATCATTGTTGAGGCCTTCGTAACTTCCTTCGAATAGAATATTTGGAACACCATCAAGAGTTGTTCCTACCTCTAGCAAAATCACCAAACATCGGGAGTCCCTTTCCAAATCATGATACCAAATGCGTTGTATCTCACCATCTATTCGAGGAAGAACATGTCGTTCTTGAAGATCTTCATCTCGATTGCGTCATCTTGAAGGTTGTGACAATCGTAATGTCTCGTCCGGCAGGTCAGCAAACGAAGGTTCTTGAGTTGAATCCGCTGGTTGTTGGCTCTCCATCTAATTAGCGTCACAAATGCAAAGAAGTTACAAACAAGGATAGGAAATTGAATGTTATCTTGCCTCAATCTTGTCTCTTTTATAAGAGAGATTTTCATCTTGATTTTGATGGATGTCGTTGATGAAAAACTTTGACTTTAGCTGATGCATTTGCTAGATTCCTGGATGGCTCCCATGTGCGTTTACTAATATCATATCCGCACCAATGAACAAGATATTTCAGCTTATTTTGGCGCCGCCTTGAGTCTAATATCTCTTCCACCTCAAATTCTTCATTATTATCTACTTCTATAGGAGGCGGTGGCATTTGTCTTCTTCCTTATATATCCACTGTCTTATATGGTTCAAGAAGAGACACGTGGAATACAGGATGGATCTTCATTGACTCCGATAGATGTAACCGATATGCAACTAGGTTGATCTGTTCAGAAACAGAAAAAGGGCCAAGCCTACGATAGTCCAACTTGTCACAAGGTCGAGTAGTCTTGATATTGCGATGAAGTAGCCATACCTTATCACCCACGTTGAGTTGTGGTTGCTCCTTATGATATAGATCTGCGTTTATCTTTTGTCGTTCTCGAGCTTCCTTCAATTGCATCTTCATTATTGTATGTAACTCTGACAACCGATTTGCCATATCTTCTACTGCAGGATTATCAACTTTTGAAAAATCAAAAGTATCAAGTCGTGGATGATAGCCATAATTGGCAAAGAAAGGTGTTTGTTGCATGGAAGAATGTACCGTATTATTATAAGCAAACTCTGCCAATGGCAGAAAGGTTGTCCAATTATCTTGTTGGTAGTTGATAGTACACCTTAAATATTGCTCCAAGACTTGGTTTACGCGCTCTGTTTGTCCATCAGTTTGAAGATGGAAAGCCGAAGATAGCTTTATGTCCACTTTTAAAATCTTGAAAAGGGTCCTCCAAAATCTTGACACAAATTGAGTTCCCCTATCCGATATGATATCTTTAGGTAATCCATGATAGCAATAGATATTATCAATGAAAAGCTTAGCTGTTTCTTCACCTGTGATAGATTTTGTACATGGCACAAAATGTGCCATCTTGGTGAAACGATCTACTATCACAAATATAGAATTATAAGATCTTGAGCTTGGAAGATCTGTGATGAAATCTATAGAAACAGAAGACCGTGGTTGTGCTGGTATAGGTAATGGCTGAAGAAGTCTGTAAGGTCGATGACGAGGAATTTTTGATCTTGAACAAATATCACATGATTGTACAAAGTCTTTAACTGACTTCCACATTTGTGGCCACCAAAAATCTCTTGATATGAGTTCCAAAGTCTTATTATATCCAAAGTGCCCTGCTGCTGGAAAGTCATGACGTGCTTGAAGAACACGTAAACGTGCTTCTCCTTCTAGAACATATAGGCGTCCTTCAAAATATAATAGATTATTCTTGAACTCAAACTTAGAAGGATCATGAGACTTCGAAGAATTATTCTCGATATCATGAACAAGAGGGTCTGAGGACATACTGGACTGGATTTGCTTGAGAAAAGTTGAATCAACAGTCAATGTTGATTTCATTGCTCGGAGATGAAATTGCTCCGGTTTCAAGAGGACCGTTCTTTGTTGCTCAAAAGCTCCATCTCCTTCTTTTGGAGCAAAATAAGAACGTCTAGATAGGGCATCGGACAAACCTTGTTGTTTTCCTGGCCGATAAGTGATAATGAACTCAAATCTTGACAAAGACATACTCCAACGAGCTTGACGACGATTCAATACGTGTGCTGACATAAAATACTCGAGGTTCTTGTGATCTGTATACAGAGTGACTGGACTAGAAGCGCCTTCTAGATAATGATGCCATTCTTGAAAAGAATCCACGATCGCAAGAAGTTCTTTATCGTGGATCTCATAATTGATCTCGGCTGCTGAGAATTTTCTTGAATGAAAAGCTATCGGATGAAGTTTGTCATCTGTTCCCATTTGTGATAAAACTGCACCCAAGGCAAAATCTGATGCTTCTGTTTCCATAAAAAATGCCTTGAAAAAGTCAACACGATATAAGACTGGTGCAGAGACAAACGATGTCTTTAAGGCTTCAAATGCTGCTTCCACTTCTTGATTCTATTGGAATTTATCTTTACTAGTCAAGCGTGTAAGTGGAGCTGCAACTCGTGAGAAATCTTTGATGAAGATCCGATAGTAATTGGCAAATCCCAAGAAACATTGGACATCTCTTACTGTCCTTGGAATCTTCCAATCCATGATTGTTTGGACTTTTTTAGAATCCATCATGAGACCATCATTTGAAATGATGTATCCTAAAAAGTCAACTTGAGTAGTGTGAAAT